AATGTTAATGATGATCAGGAATCACCAGCAGCATCTGGTTTGGATAGAAACTGTATTTTTTCACAGATTTGCTGCAATTTTAAGGCACATGACTAATTTTGGACATGACATGTTTAGTAAACATGTAAAACTAGCAACAAAATAGTTAAAATACATGTTTAACGTCTGTAATTAAATATGTGATTGTGTTGTGTTGTTTGTGTGATTCTCAGCTAGAAGAAGCCTGATGTCTCACAACTCAGCTTAAAATGTTTTTATGTTATTTTAAGTCCAACAAAAGACAAAAATGTCTCAGTTCTGCTCAGTGAAACAGCAATAATCCACATAAATATACACAAATAAACAGAGCAACATTCCATAAATCTGAGAAACATCCCACAGAAATACATACAGACAATATCAACATCAATATTAACATCAATTTTTAATTTTAATATAATTTAACATAATGTCATATTAGTACTTTTTATTTCACTTTTACATTATTATTTTTTTTATTATTTTATATTGTATTAAAATTAAACTCATTTAGTTTTTATTTTGATTACTTTTTTTTTCTATTTTGATATTTCATATCAACATTTTTTGAGTCTAGATTTTAATATTTTAGTTTCCCATTTTATCTTATTTTTTCTATCTAATTTTTTAAAGTTATTTTAGCGTGTTGTCTTTATTTTTTAATGAGAACTTTTACCTAGCTTCATTTTATTTCTTTTATTTTACTATCTCATTTAGCATTCTGTCAGTATAATCTTTTATATGGCCCTTTTAGATTAAAATTTTTTTTCTTTTCTTATTTTAGATTTTGTCTTTATTGAAATAAAATTGTTGTATCTGCTTTTAATAATTGTGTCCTGTTTCATTATGTTGTCTTTGAAATACTTTTTAAAATTTTATTTGTACGTCTAGTTCTTATTTTATTGAGATAAAATTTTGTCTTGACATTTTTATGTCCTCTTTATTCTGTCTTAGTTCTCAGTTCATCAGCACATCAAGCCTCATTAAACTGGGTGAAGGTTCTGCATAAATACAGTCTGACTGATTTGTTATTGTAAAGAGATCTGCAGTTAATTTTTGATGTGATTTTAGATTTCTGAGATGCATTTCTGAGTTTTAGCAAATCCTCCATAACAAAATCTGAAGCATCATATTGCCATTACAGAGCTGACCGTCCTACCTGCTCTAAACGAAGAGGCGGAAACTCCACAAGTTCACTGAATAACAGCAGCTCATTTCACATGTTCACAGACCAGCAGAGTCCAGGAGGAAGATCAGCTCCTTCAGCTGCAGCTCCTTTAGTTCCTTCAGCTCCTGCAGCTCTCTGCTGGCTGAGCTTCGCGGTGCTGTTTAAAACAGAGCTGGAGGTATGGAGGGCGAACAGTGACACATGGAGGCATGAGGAGGAGATGGCAGATTTAACAGAGGTCAAAGAAGCATTAAAATACAACAAAATGTGCGCCTGAGTAGCTCAACAGGTTGAGCAGGTGACCCATGAACGGGGGCTATAGTCCCTGATGCAGTGGTCAAAGGCTGAATCCAGCACGTGGCCATTTACTGCAGGTCTCCCTACATTCCTGTCTTCCTGTCTACTGCTCTGTTCAAAATGCAGAAGAAAAAAACCAAAACATTAAAATAAAAATACTTCGTTACAAGTCGGAAAACTTCTCCTTCAGCAGCAGAATATAGTTTGCAGCAGATGTTCTGGTTTATTGCTCTGAGTGATATATGATCAGATTATTACCACGAGTGTGTTACTGTTGGAGCTACTGCTGGTGGAGAAACTGTACACCCCGAATATTTGTGGAACACTTGTTTTGTTTGTTTGTTTTGCATTATTATACTAACTTATTTTATTTGTATTTTTTTAAAAGTTTTTTTTTGTTGACATTTTCTGAATGTGTTTTTCTTAGCATTTTTTTTTTTTTTAGATTTTTCTTGAGATTTTTTTCTTGGCAATCTAATGTTTTTTTTTGTTGTTGTATTAAAACTTTTGGTTAATCTGTCTTCAACATTTGGGAGATTTCATTAATGCTGTTTTGGACATTTAAAAATAGTTGAATGGGCATTTAGGCAGGAATTATTTTGGAACAATGTATTAATGTTTTCAGTCTTTTTCATCATATTTGTCGCACATTTCAGACACTTTTATGATATTTCTGGCATCTTTCAGATATTTCATCGATTTTTCTTCTCACATTTGTCACAACCACACAAACAGACACAAAGAAAGACAAAGACACAAAATGACAATAAACAGGTGGTTTAATCGATAACTTTGTGCCATTGAAAGATTCTTAGATGAATAAATCTGCATCTTAAATATGTTGTGATAACTGTAGTGCAGCGGAAAGACAAAGTACCAGAACATCGAAAAACTCAAATGTAGTAAAGTACCTAATATTTCACTTAAATACAGCAAAATGACTAAACTTGATTTGAAACCAGTGTACCTAGTTAAAGTCCACCCATGGTATTTCCAATAATGCCACCTCCAGTGCATTTCTGACCAGTAAAAAACCTAAATTTAACATAGCAGTATTTATTTAAAGATATGTGATGACAAACGTTAAAAGCGATGACATTTGTCCTGAAGAATGACGATGTCGAGATCTGAATTTAAACTATTTCAGTCACAGATCCAATCTAGATGTCAAATGTTCAACCAGCAGCCACAAGCATCTTCAGGTAAACACAGAACATCACACCTGTATAGATGAACAGAAAATGTGAAACTACAGAGAATGTGTCCTGTGACATCACCAGAACATCTTAAATAATTCAACACAGAATCAGTTCAGTAGTTAAGAGTCAGGTTATACCATGACGCGGTGTGAGGCATTAATTACCCTCCATACATGTAGCTGGACTCCCTCCTCTGTCTCTGAGATGCGGCTGCTGCCATGGCAACTATCTGCTTTCTGAATTTATGGAAATTGCAGCTGCTCCACTTTCTCACAACAGCTCGCTGCAGCCACAGCACCACCATGTGTCTGACTGATGAACACAGGATTTCATTTTTGCAGACTGTCAATAGTAAGAACTGTGTTTACGTCATGTGTGAAAGTATCAGAGTAAAGCAACTCTGATCCCAGCAGACCGGACACAGAAAAACTGTCATGTT